ATTGGTTCTGTTTTATAATTAGCAGTTTAGTAGGAATGTTTAGCATTCTACCAACGGATTGTGAATGCATATTTTTTTAATATTCCATCAAGCTGCCACGACCTCGCGAGACTAACGACATCAAAAATTAATGCGTACGTTTTAAATTCCTCTCTTCGGAACTGATTTTTCCGGTGTTTTAATTTATACAAACAACCGTACAAGCTTATATTTGCCATATTAAAAATAGAATAGAAAATCATTTTTTGAAATAAACTTGATTTAAACACTGCTTAATAGTCATAACAATGTTTTTTTTTGAATAGTCATAACAATGTTTTTTTATTCTTTTTAGAGATTTATAGAATATGCAAGAAACTAGTGTGTTGCTCTTTTAAATAAATATTGATTTACTTATATATAAATAAACTTAATATAAGAACTTTTGAATAGTTAAGTTTTTTTATTCTACCGCTCATTCGGAATGCAGATTCATCACAAGAAGAATAAGCAAGAAACTAGTGTGTTGCTCTTTTAAATAAATATTGATTTACTTATATATAAATAGAAATAGAAATAAATTTTATTCAAATAAACTTAATATAAGAACTTTTGAATAGTCAAGTTTTTTTATTCTACCGCTCATTCGGAATGCAGATTCATCACAAGAAGAATAAGCAAGAAACTACTCTTTTAAATAAATATTGATTTACTTATATAGAAATAGAAATAAATTTTATTCAAATAAACTTAATATAAGAACTTTTGAATAGTCAAGTTTTTTTATTCTACCGCTCATTCGGAATACAGATTCATCACAAGAAGAATATGCAAGAAACTAATGTGTTGCTCTTTTAAATAAATATTGATTTACTTATATAGAAATAGAAATAGAAATAAATTTTATTATTTAATATAACTTTTGAATATAAGAATGCAGATTCATCACAAGAAGAATATGCAAGGCTTTTAAATAAATAATGATTTACTTATATTTAATTAACAACAAGGACTTAATCTCTGTTCAATCAGATAACATTGTCAGCGCTATGAATTTTAAGTTAGATATTTTCTACAAAAACATTATTATCATTTATAAATTCTTCAATTTCCTAATAAGCTTTTTTACAAAGAAAATATTTTATAACACATTTGAATTTTTTTTTCAGGCAAATTGAGTACAGACTCTGGGAGTTTGTTGTAAAACCTTACACAATTTCCATATTTTTTTTTTAATCTACCGCTCATTCGGAAAGGCTTGCTAGTTCAATATAAACTAATGTAGCCAGTATTACAACTTACAACTGCCATTACCTTATCCTCCTACTTTCTGGATCTTGAGTTGATCTTCTATAACGTATTTCCAATTTACAACAATTACTCTTATTATTAATCTACAAACATTTATCTTCAACTGTTGAAAGGAGCAAGCCACTGGCTGCGATTAAACTGTTCAATCTATACATATAAATAAAATTGGACTATCTGTTTGTAATATTATAAATAACCATTATTTTCAATATTGAATATTATTAAATTCAATAAGAAAAAAGAATAATTTCAATATTAAAAAACACTCAATACACATACATACACCAAAATAACATATTTTACAATTTTTATCTGTCTGTCTGTTTGTTCCGGGTCATCTCTGAAATGGCTGGACCAATTTTGACAGGACTTTTTTTGCAATTATATAAATGTAATAATATCAAGAGAAAAGTATATAATTTTAAAAATAAAATTATATATTTTGACAAATAAAGCTAAATATATACGTGACGGATTCGCGGGAAAAATATACTAAATAACTTAGGATGTTTCTTACAAGTTTATAATCACTAAACTAGTATGTTCGCAGACAAGCAACATTCCATTTTCCTTCGGTCGGTGCCGATTTGTTATTTTTATTATAATGGTCGGATGGCGTGCAATGGCTTTAAATGTCAAACAAAGTAACTGCATTTTCTGCGGTAAAGTAACAGAGTTATTGCATTATGTTTATTTATAAACCTTTCGCGTTTAGTACTCATTATTAGTGTAGTTAAACGGGTATTAACATGTATAATTGTATGGTAAGTAAAGGTATTTACCTCTCGACATTTCGACTAGTAGTACAGTAAACAGTTGAACATGTTGTGGTCAGTTTTGGAGCTATAATAATAATATTCAATTCGAGGAGATTTTCATTTATTTTATTTATTTATATAACTTTAATGCACACAGTACAAAAGCAACAGTACATTTGGCGGACTTAACATCGTGCGGTATTTTCACCAGTCAAATGGTTGACTGGTAGAAAATAATATTTTCCTTCGGTCGGTGCCGAGAAATATTGTTGGCGGATGGCAAAAATAATCATAAAAAAAAAAATCATTAAAAGTGATATAATAATATTTATACTTGTTAGGGAAAATACTCTGCTACCAAAATGTTAGTTAAAGTATTAACATGTATATATATGGTAAAAATATATGGAAGCGTCTGTCTCGACTGTATGGTTCTGAACGGATTTCTTGGGTTTCAGGGTCTAAATAATATTTCGAGGAGATTTTCAGTTTATAGGTTTAACACAGTTCTATATAATTTTAATTCACAACACAAGCGCGCGCGCTCAACATCGCTGTACGGTTCGTTCAGTACTAGGTAAGGGAGGAGAAAAATTGTTGTCGGGAACAGAATATAACGGACTCTAATATAATAATCTGTGCTTACGATGATACAGGGTAGATTTTGAACTTTATATAATAATATTTATAAATATATGTTCACGAGAAAGGGATAAAATAAAAAAAAGTGTTAATAAACGGTTTTTTTTTAATAATTCGATAACGGTAAGAAATGTGAAAAAATGTTTTCATTAAAAGTTGTAGACTAGTCCATCGGAAATGAAGAAGAATGTAAAATCTTTAAAACAGCAGCGAACCTTCTATAATATTAGAGAAGAATAATATAAGAGAGAACCTCTTGAAAAAAAGAGATTTTCCCGGCTTCTTCCACATTTTTCTATTGATACTCCGTTCTGCAATTGACATAAAGAAGGTACTTGGTAGCTAGAAATAAAGATTTTCTTATGAAGAGAATATATGTAGTTGTGATTTCATTACATAGTATAAAACAAAGTCGCTTTCGCTGTCCGTCCCTATGTATGCTTAAATCTTTAAAACTACGCAACGGATTTTGAAACGCTTTTTTTAATAGATAAAATGATTCAAGAGGAAGATTTATATATATAATACATGTACACCCGTGCGAAGCCGGTGCGAGTAGCTAGTGTAAGAAGCACTAATTATAATGACGACTTAGGCTTTGAAGCCGGCTACCGCAAGGGAAACCCCAAGTAGTACTCGTCACTTGTGACACGGGTGTAGGTTTAAAAAGCCCTTTTAGAATGCATTAGCACTCACCTTCACTACTTGCAGCTTCCCCCCCAGGCCCAACTAAGAGCGGGAAACCCATTCCTAATGTAATTCACTTTAGTATTCAAAACACAACCGGCACGCTCTGCGCTCGTCAACTGAATGCCGCGGCTCACCCAATGAAAGAGGATTATTCAACTACCGACCTCCGTATTTATAAACCGAAATCAGTGTAGTAGGTCGGTCTATAAATACTAGATGACGCTATTTACAATATTTGTAATAATCTTACATTGGATACTTCATTAGTACTAAACACAAACTACCTTCTTTTAATATCTTTTTAAAATTATTTTTTCTACAATAATGATGTGAAGTCTAACACTAGTATAAAATAAATCCTAATTAAATACGTAATTCTGACTCGCTATTTCTCCCTCAATATATAATGTATATTTCCTATGATAACGCAAGATCAAAAGCCGTTAGTTCATAACTAGATAGACGTTGCCTGCGTTTGACTTCGTGACGTTGAAACAGATTGAAAATTTTCTCTGCTCTATAACGAAATTGGAAATACGTTATAACATCAAACGTTAATATTACTGGCTTTATTTTTTTATTTACCGCATTTGCATTTCTATCTATATTTATATTTAGCAACATATTCCATGAAAATTTCATCGTAGCTCCTCGAGCCGTTGTTAAATGAAATCTTAACTTACAATCAGATAAACAAACAAACAGACAACTTTCGCCTCGTCACGGTTTTATAATCTGTGTAGATAGAAGAAAAGTTGGACAAAAACAACTTTATTAATGTTAGAAGCACTAATTAATAATGACGACTTAGGCTTTGAAGCCGGTTACCGCAAGGGAAACCCCAAGTAGTACTCGTCACTTGTGACACGGGTGTAGGTTTAAAAGACCCTTTTAAAATACATTAACAGGCTCAACTAAGTCCGGCAAAATAGATTCTAATAAAATTCACTTTAGTATCCAAAACACAACCGGCACGCCCTGCGCTCGTCGACTGAATGCCGCGGCTCATCCAACGAAAGAGGATTATTCAACTAACGACCTCCGTATTTATAGACCGAAGTCCGTGTAGTAGAGAGACAAAAACTTAGTTCGGTCTATAAATACTAGATGGCGCTATTTACAATATTTGTACTAATCACAAATTACCTTCTAATAAATACCTTTTAAAATATCGGACTTTCCTACAATATTGATGTGAACCCTAACATTAAGTAATTTTTTATATTCATATTTTGATCTATATTTATATTTAACATCATATTCATTGTTATTTTCAGAATACACTTTTTATTGTTACTTTTCAAATTAAAATACGGGAATGTGTTTAGTACTTGTGTATTACGATGACATGTAGAACATTGACATTATGCTTTATAAAACACTTCAAAAACTGACAGCTGACTGACTTGCAACATGCCCCCGGACATTGGAACATAACAATGTTTCAAGCAGAAGTCGAGGAGATAGGCAGTGGACATATTTTTGAAAATGATCTCCTAATTACTCCAGTAGATGTACGATTGTCTGCAACTCGAACTATTCCATCAGAACCAGGATGAATGGCTACAATTCTTCCCAGCTTCCATTTAAGGGGCGGAAGGTGATCTTCTTTAATGACCACTAATGTATCAAGCTTTCAGTACCTCTCATCTCAGTAGATTTGAAGTATAGTTCCGATTTGCCTGACTGCCACTTGGTACGCTGCTGCAATTCGGCAACAAATTCTTTACTCCATCTGCTCCAAAAGTGTTGACGAAGCTGCTCTATGCGTGCAAAACGACTTAAGTTGCTTGTTGTCGATTGGCGCAAGTCTGGTTGTGGTAATGAGATGAGAGGTCGACCAATAATAAAATGCCCAGGAGTCAGCGGTGTATAGTCAGCAGGATCAGTTGACAATGGTGTCAGTGGACGGGAATTCAATATTGCTTCAATTTGAGTTAAAGTGGTGTTAAGTTCTTCAAACGTCAAGTTACAATTTCCCAACACTCGCTGAAGGTGGTACTTGGTCGATTTGACGCCCGCCTCCCAGAGTCCGCCAAAGTGAGGTGTATACGCGGGAATAAAATGAAAATTTATTCCCTGACTAACTACAGTATCAGACAAGGCATCACAATTTGCCTTTAAAAATTTCGATATCTCGTTATACGCACCAACAAATGAGGTACCATTATCAGAGTATATATGAACAGGCTTTCCACGTCGCGATATAAATCTGTATAAGGCCATTAAATACTTATTACTAGTGAGATCTCCTACGAGCTCCAAGTGGATAGCCTTAGTGGTAAAACAAACGAATATTGCTATATACACCTTCATAAGTCTACAACCACGACCCTGACGACTAGCGCTCATTATTGGCCCGGCATAGTCAACGCCGACACATTCAAACGGATAACCTGGAAGAAGGCGCTGTTGAGGTAAATTCCCCATCAGTGGTGTTGCAATCTTTCCTTTCATCCGATTGCAACGTACACATTTGTGATAGCAAATTTTAGCTAAATTACGGCCACCAATGGGCCAGTACGATTCTCTGATTGTAGCTAACAATAGTTGTGGACCTGCGTGCAACAACCTTTTATGTTCAAAATGAAATAATAATTTTGTGAAAATATGTGTGGACTGTAAAAGAATTGGGTGTTTTTTATTATAACAAAAGGATGAATTATTTAGACGTCCTCCGACACGCATAATATTATTATCATCAAAAAAAATATTAAATTTCAAAAGTGTGCTCTTTTTTGGTAAACAACGTTTATTAATAAGTAAGTTATATTCAGGGAAGGATTCTCTTTGACTTATTAAAATAATTATATTTAGTGCATTACTAAATTCGTGTTGAGACAGCAATATTGTAGATATATTAAGACTTCGATTTCTACAAATCCGAATAAATCGTAATATGTATGCTACACAGCGCACAAGTCGAAGATAATTGGAAAACCGGCTGAAATTTATAAATTCATAATTTCGGTCAGTCTCAACAATGGCATTAAATGCAATATGAGGTCGCATTTCTGGCAACGTTTCTAATTGCAAACCTTTGATATTAGAGGGCCAGCTAGATTGAGTCTCCACTAAAAAGTCTGGACCATTCCACCACAAGCTTTTATGTTGCAGACTCCCTATATCCACTCCACGGGATATAAGGTCTGCTGGATTTTTGTCTGTTGGGACGTGTCTCCATATACAATTACCAGCCTTATCTAAAATTTCAGCAACGCGGTTGCGTACAAATGGCTGAAGCTTAGAAGGTAGCATTTGTAACCATCCCAACACTATAGTGGAATCAGTCCAACAATAAACATGATTCACATGTACCCGAAGGGACTTTGAAACCTTCTCATATAACCGTGCACCGACCAAGGCACCACACAATTCCAGTCGTGGGATTGTTGTAGGCTTAATCGGCGCTACACGACTTTTAGCCGTCAATAAACCTACCGTGCACTCTCCGTTATCATTGATGCTACGCACATAAACGCACGCACCATATGCACGCTCAGATGCATCAGTGAATACATGTAACTCTAGCGATTTATACGAATCACAAACTACAAGACGTGGAATGCGAAAATTATTTAATAGAGGCAAAGCCTCAGCAATTGCAGTCCAAGTGGTATTTAACTCCGTGGTTAATGGTTCATCCCATGTTACATTATCTAGCCACAATTTCTGTAGCAACATTTTCATTGTCACTATACAAGGGGATAGAATACCTAGAGGGTCGAAAATGCGTGCTATTGCCGAAAGCAAATCACGTTTAGTGCGACCAATTAGAGGTACAGAGCTAATTACAAAACCTAATTCATCGGTAGCGGCAAACCAATCAACACCTAATAACTTATTAGATTCATGAGATCCTATATTTAAGTCTAAAGATGTTTGCAACTCATCCGATACTAAACCGGGTTCATTTGATTTCCACTTTCTCAAAGGCATACATGCCGATGCAAGAGCTTCGGTAACCTCGGTACGTATAGACTTAATCTCATTTAAAGTGTCCGCTCCGGTCAACAAGTCATCGACATAAAAATCGTGTTCAATAATCTCTGAGATTTTCTTGTTCTTGCACTCCGAAGCTATTTCTTTAAGACATCGCGTTGCAAGAAATGGTGCACTTGCTGTACCGTATGTGACTGTATTCAATTGATAAGTTTTTATGGGTTCGGTTGGACTCGATCGCCAGAGTATTTGCTGGAAACATCTATCAGATGGATGAACCATTATTTGTCTATACATCTTCTCCACATCTGCAGATAAAACATATTTATGCAGTCTAAATCGTAGAAGTATAGACAATAGGTCATCCTGGACTGTGGGACCTACCATCTGAATACAATTTAGAGACACTCCTGATGAAGTGGGGGAACTCGCATTAAAAACCACACGAAGTTTTGTAGTCGTACTACCTTCACGTAATATACCGTGATGTGGTATGAAATAACTTTTAGTATTATCGACTCCCTTAACTTCAGTCATATGATGTAACATCTTGTATTCGTTCATAAATTCATGATATAATTTGCCAAAATCAGGCTTAATTCTTAGTTTACGCTCCACAGCATAAAGACAGTGTGTAGCTCTCTGAAATGATTCTCCCAGAACGGAAGGATTGTGTTTCAGTGGTATACGGACACAGAAACGTCCATTGCTTAATCGTGTCACATTCTTGACAAAATGTTCCTCACATAATTTTTCTTCTGGCAAATAGTTGGTAGACTGTAAAGCTGTTTCTTCCAGTTGCCAAAAGCGCATTAAATCTGTACGTAATTTATCCAAACTCTCTTTATGAGGTGAAACGATATGAGTAAAGTTGCATTTTATATTAGTCCGCTGAAATTTGACATGATTATAAGTGACAGGACCAGAAATAATCCAACCTAATCTAGTTTCACATAGGACTGGCATTCCAAGACCCAATTTTATTATTTGTGATCCCAACAAATCCCAGAAAATATCTGCACCAATCAAAATATCTACCTTAGAAGGTTCATGGAACGTTGGATCAGCTAAACTGAGGGTATGAGGAATATTGAGATCAGATATATCTAACTTTTGACATGGTACATCACTAGATATTAACGGCAAAATGAAACAATAAAGCTTTGTAGCATAAGTATTGTTTAATGACGTCATTTGAATTTGACACATCTTACCTACGTGTGAAGTCACGTTATTTATGCCACATACTGATCCATCCACTTCATTTGTTTCTAAATTTAGCCGTTTGCATAGTCTTTCAGAAACAAATGATGCTGTGCTTCCGCTGTCAAGAATTGCGCGCACAACAAATGCACGATTATGTTTATCGTAGACCTTGACTAAAGCGGTTGATAAAACTACAGAAACATTTTGAGGAATACCGTAAGAAGCTGAAACCTTTGCAGATAAAGTAAGGTTATTTAGTTCACTATTAAGGTTACTAACTGGCACGGATGCGGACGATGGAGATGAGTTATCTCCATTGGGATTAGTGATAAGACCCTTTGGTTCCGACATGTGGATCAGTACATTATGTCTACGTTTACATATTTTGCACCCTGGTTTTTTACAATAATTAGCAAAATGACCTGATCGAAAACAATTAAAACATATTTTGAAACTTGGCAATATTTTAATACGAGCATCAACACTTAATGCTAAGAATTTTGGGCAGGAATTTAAGTTATGATCCCCTTTACACTGTGGACAATTTTTTGAATTCGATGGTGTGCTAGAACTAGTACACTGCGTCATCATAGCCTTTATTTTGGATACAGGCTTTGCACTAGCATGGGATATATTAATACGCGACACTTCCAATGTTTCGAGTAGATCTGCGCGGTTACGTAAGAATTGAACAAATACGTCAAATGTAATCGTATAATCTTTGTCTATGCGGCCTTTATACTCTTCCCATTCGCGAAATGTTTTTTGATCGAGTTTTCGGGTCACAATGTACACTAACAGTGTGTCCCATTGTTTGATTGGTTCGCCCAGAGTTTCTAAGGCACGTAAATTTTTATTTAATTGATCAATCAAACCTTTGAGTGCAGTAGATGATTCCTTCGAAATTGTTTCTATGTTGAATAACGCTGACACATGATTTTGAATTAACAGTCGTTTATTGTCGAAACGATCGCACAGTAATTTCCACACCACAGGATAATTACTGGCTGAAAACTCTATTGACTGAATGACCACAGCAGCAGATTCCTCCAAGGATGCACGTAAGTAGTGAAACTTATTAATTTCATCAATTTCATCGTTAGTGTGAATGAGACTCATGAAGGTGTCGCGGAACTCTAACCAATGGCTATAAGAGCCATTGAACCGGGGTAGCTGAATTGTGGGTAGTTTTACAGGTTTAAAATTACTAGCACGAGTACTTTTATCACTATTGACAGAATGATTATCTTTATTGAATTTACTTAATAAATTTTGTGACCTAGAAACAGATTTATAATATAATGACTCAAAATCTGACCGCTCAGCAAATTGTGCCTTGACATCATCTACGATACATTCCAAACGTAACTGTACCTCATCATATTGGTCGTACAATGCTTCAATTTTACCAATGCGTAACTGCAGTTCTGTAATATCACAACTTGTTAATATATTTTCATCAATAGCATCGAGGTAATTCACAAATGCAGTTAGACGCCCTTTATAGCTTCCGCGTTTCTTTACTAATTCCCTTTCCTCTGACATTCTACTGGGAGTCAAGCGTTATATCAATCAGAACCGTTACAATAATAAACAGTGTACAAAATCACAACTTATAACTATATGTACCTACTACACTTCTACAATATCTACTGCACATAAACAATATTTATATTTATTTATTCTGTGAGTTTAATTCTATAAATTACTATATAAATTCAATATTCCTTGACAGGTAAATGCCCTAACCTAATAAGCAAAACTACTTTTAAAAGCAAAACCACTTTACAATAAATTTATAAAAAATACTTAAAATTTCAAATGTAATTGACAATTACTAATATTTTGTTTTTAACTGTATTTTCTATCCTATATATTTGTTTATTCTCTGTTCCAGTTGGTACATATTAACTTACAAATATAAACAAATAAAAACCATATACAATTAAACAAAACAATGCAATGAAATAGTTAGGATCATACAAAACAATTGGTAATACAATATCAGTATAATTTTATCAATAAATGATGAAATCTATACAGTAAATAATATTCAACACTAACTTTTATGCCAGAAATTATCATGTATAATTCATATGTTGCTTAAATGCTTATATCAAGAACCGATTAATCGTGTTTTACAATGATAAGCCAACAAATTATCGCATTGAGCATATCTATAGATAAAAATATAGCACTCAAGTATGCTAACTATATTACTTAGAATATATTTTAACTATTATGACTAACCAAAATTGTATACAATTGATACAAACGATAATATTATTAACTTTGACAATTTACCGGTATGCACTTATTAATGAGTCTATAACAAGAAATATAAACCACTAACCTTATAACAACATCTGAAATATGTTTAAATTCTACCTGACTGAGTGTTGGGAATAATATTTTACCAAGTTATTGCTTAACACCATAGAAACATGTATTTTATTTCATCCACATTCCACGTTTTTATAACCTCCAAGTCACAGTGTAATTCGCTTCAACTATGCTCATTAATTGTTTATCTTCGATAATGATATTTTATTATATTCCAGTGCTTCGTTCTCGATATATATATTTACCATGTAGTTTCTTCAAATCACTAGGCAACATAACGCAATTTTAGAGCTAGATTCTAAAGCCTAAAAAAAAAAAGAAAATTAAACGTTTCACTGTCAACACTTGTCATACTCTATAGACAATAGATTGATACTTGTCATTCTTTACTTTGCGTGGCAACTATTGCGTCATAATTTTTAATTGTTCTTTAATTCTCAGTATTTTTTAATTGAAAACATATAACATTGAGTGTTTTTAGCATGCCGAAACGGAAAAATGAAGACAAAATACAGAAATACAAAAATAAAATACGACGTCTTGAAGAGAAACGTAATAAAGCTCGACGACGCAAATCATCATATTGCGTCTCGGATTCAGAAGAATCTATCCAATATAAACAGACAGGTAAGTTTTATATAGTAAATAATTACAGATATGCAATATCCCAATATACATTACAAAGGTTACGGGTACAAAAACTTGAACATGCAAGTTGCGTCATCCCTAGAAAATATCGTTGAGATATTACAAAGGTCGTCAGTACTAAAAACATGCAAGTTGTGTCATGCCTAGGGAATGTCCGTGAGACATTACAAAGGCTATTTGCACTAAAACTTGAATATAGAAGTTGCGTTAAGCAAGGCGATTATACTTAGTATAGTTACTATGAAAGGTGTCTGTTCTAAAACTGGAACATACATGCTGTATAAACCCTAGGGAGCATCCGAGAGATGTTACGAAGGGTATCACAATAAAAACTTGAACATGCAAGTCAAATTAAGCCTGGGAAGCATCCGTGAGATGTTGCGAAGGCAATGTTTACTAAAAACATAATATACAAGTTTTATTAAAACTGGTAAATTTAAAAAAGGGCTTTTCTAAATGTATTCACGCCTTTCAGATCAATCTGAGGAAAACAATTATACAGAATCTTTAATAGATGCTGTATCTATATGTTCACAAGGGACTAATCTGCCCTCAGATATAGAAAATATGGACCCAAACGTTATACAACAACAACTTCACAGAGATACTCAGATAAACCAACCGGGGGGTCCACTGAACAGTGCACAGGTGAACCAACTTTAAATAGTGATATATTGCAAGCTCTTGGTGATGCAATGGAGGAAAAGCCTCTATTCGGTGAATATATCAATAATTAGTTAGCAAAACGATGGAATAAAATAGCGAAAAATGGGTTAGATAAAGAAGTAAAAGAGTCATTACTGAAGCAGTATTTAATACCTGATAATTGCAAAACTTTGCAAGCTCCTAAGCTCAATCCAGAAATCATGGCCACAATTTCTGATACTGGAAAAAGACGAGATAAGAAAATAGAGGCTGATCAACAACAGTTAGGTCAGGGGATATCAGCTTTGAACAAGGCACTATCCTTGACAATTACCGACACAGGTGATAGTCTAAATGTAATAAAAATATTAAGTGATGCCTCAAAAATATTAACAGACTTACATTGTCACCTGACATTTAGTAAGAAGAAAATAATCTCAACTTCCTTGGACAAAAAGTTTTTAGAAATTCTAAAAGATATAGATAGAGATGAATATCTCTATGGAGAGAATTTATCAGAAAAAATAAACGCCTTGAAAACCGCACAAAAAACTGGACAAACAATTAAAAAATCTGACAATTTCAAGCCCTCAAACAGAAGAACATTAAATCCTAGCACTTCGGGAAATTTCCGGGGCCTGCCTCAATATGCAGCACCAAAACCCTTCAATCGAGGTGGGCCAAAACGCCTGATGCAACGAAACCTTCCATACAAACAGCAGCATTATACAACAAGGAAATCCAAACAAGAAATGAAACCTCCTGCTCGGAAGTAATGGTATGTCATGGTGGCAGATTGTCACATTTTATCCAATGTTGGGAAAAAATCACTGATGATACTACAATCATCCAATACATGAGAGGTTATTCTATACCCTTCACCAAGTTACTTACGTTACCATTTCAAAACATTATTCCAAGTTCATTTCAGTATAATTCTGATATAGAGAAGCAGGATATGAAAATTGCTATTACTAAATTACCTAAATTAGGGGCCATTTCTGTTTGTGAGCCCCATCCAGGTCAATTCATTTCCTCTATTTTTCTAATTCCTAAACCAAATGGCAGTAAAAGATTTATTTTAAATTTAAAACAGTTAAATAAGTTTGTAGCTACAGCACACTTTAAAATGGAAGATCATAGGACTGCGGCATCCTTGATAAATAAAAATAATTTTTTTAGCAAAAATTGACCTTAAAGAATCATATTTGCTTATATCCATAAACCCAGATAATCGAAAATTCCTTCGCTTTAAATATGATAGATTATATGAATTTAATTCACTACCATATGGCCTCTCCTCCGCTCCCTACATTTTTACAAAAGTCATGAGAGTAGTAGTCACATACTTAAGGAAAAAGGGATATAAGAATATAATTTATCTGGACGATTTACTGTGCCTAGGCACTACTTACCAGTCATGGTTAGAAAATGTTAAACAGACTATTTTTACTCTGGAATGCTTAGGATTTGTTATAAACTATGAAAAAAGTTTTTTAGTACCTTCCAAATCTTGCAATTTTTTGGGTTTTATTTATGATACAAGTAGTATGACAATGCAATTACCTTTAGAAAAAACATATCAACTTCAAAAGGTGACAAATAAATTCCTTAACATGTGTAAATGTACAATACGGGAATTTGCCCAACTTATACGGTTGTTAGTGTCAGCCTGCCCAGCTGTACAGTATGGCTGGTTATACACCAAATATTTAGAACGTCATAAATACCTAGCTTTACTAAAAAATTTTAATAATTATGATTGTATTATGGATTTACACCGAGATACGAGGTTAGATCTTGAATGGTGGGCAAAAAATATATTGCTAGTATCAAAATCAATATTAGTCCGTAATTATGATATTGAAATTTATACTGATGCATCTAGAACGGGCTGGGGCGCGGTCTGTAATAACAGTAAAATTAATGGAAATGAAGGAAAATGAATATAAATTTCACATAAATTATCTAGAACTGCTAGCTATTTTTCTGGCATTGAAAACTTTTGTTAAAAACAAACAAGAAATTCAGGTTCTGTTAAGAGTAGATAATAAAACGGCTATTTCTTACATTAATCGTATGGGTGGTATTCATTACCCACACCTTAATGACTTGGTTAGAAATATTTGGAAATGGTATGAAGAAAGGAAAATATGGCTCTTCTCCTCTTATATAAAATCTTCAGATAATGTAGAAGCAGATATAGAATCTCGAAAAACAAATACAGATATCGAGTGGGAATTAAATTCACGCGTTTTTAAAGAAATAATAAATAAATTTGGTACACCACAGGTGGACCTTTTTGCGTCTAGGGTCAACACTAAATGTCCCTTATATTTATCCTGGAAGCCAGATCCAGATGCATTAAATGTAGATGCATTTACTGTAAATTGGTCAAAGTATTATTTTTATGCCTTTCCACCATTTAGTCTAATTTTAAAATGTCTAATGAAAATAAGATATGAAAAAGCCTCAGGAATCATAGTCGTGCCCTACTGGCCATCCCAACCATGGTTCCCCGTTATGCAGGAAATGTTGGTTTCTGATTTATTATATTTTGGGCCAGATAAAGATCTGTTATTGTCGCCTTACAGGAGCTGCCATCCTCTTCACCAGCAACTTATCCTGGTGGGCGGAATCTTATCAGGCAATCTATGATAAGACAAGCTATCCCCACTATCGCTTTAGATACTATGATAGCTTCACTATCAAAACACACACTAAAACAATATGATGTAACCTACAAAATATGGTGGGCTTTCTGTCAAGAAAACCAAATTAACCCTTTGTGTGCCTCAGTACCAAAAATAATACAGTTTTTAACAATTCAGTTTGAGAAAGGCTCTTCTTATGGAACCCTTAATTCTCATAAATCTGCTCTCTCTCTCTAATAATTGGTTCGCGTATAA